AAAGGAATTTAGTTGTCCACATTGTTTGCAGCTGCTGGCACTAACAGTGTCTCCCGCTGTGGAGAACGTTCTCACTCTTGTGACAGAGGTTTATAAAGGAACAGTGTGAATTGCTGGCTAAAATACAGACAAGAGGCACCTTTGTAATGGGGCTCGATTACTTTCAGCGTGAGTTGAACCCTGTGTTCTCAAAAACAGAGAATGGTCGCTGCTATAAAAATACCTATGTTGCTCGTTATTGCTTTGACACGGTAGCTGCAAGTAGCCCATAGCTGGAAATGTTTGGTTTTGATACATGCAACGTTACACCCCTAGTTTACACAGAAGAAAAGTTGACTTCACATCAGCAAAAAAAGGAACAAAGTAGAAAAGGATAAGATGTCTTACCATCTGTGTAAGAAAGAGGCTTAATTGGTGTGTGTAATGAGTACGGTCTTGTTTTTGTTGGCTACGTGAGTTCATCTTTGAAAGTATACACATCAGTTTTGTAGAAAAGATAAGCAGTATACTCACCAGCAGTAGTCTATGAGATGTTGAGGCAGGACAGGAATGTAAACATGTTGCCAGTGCATGGGATATAGCATGGCTGCAGACCCATGTACACAAGCTGTTAACTGTAGCCAAGAACACAGATTAAATATATGATAGGTAATGTTAAATTGCTGCTCTTTATATGCAGTTATTTTAACAGTGAACAGGTTAAATAAAATTGTCGAAATAAAAAAAACTAAATTAAAATTGATTATATCAGCCCTACTGTACTCAAACTATGGAGCCTAGCAGGTGTTATGGAGAAAGAAAATTACCTATACTATGCTTACAAATACTAAAATCATTCTTTCATATTATCATTGTTACTGCATGTGTTTTCTTACCATTTTAAACACTGTTTAGTCATGCTGCCAAAAGGAATGTATCGGGCCAACACATGCCCAATCAGCTCAGCATCATAAAGATAAGACTGTTGTTTAAATCACTACAATGTAAAAATATTAATTATAGCTACTATACTCGTCTTAAATAACTAGCACCGGGACAAATCCCACCACTTCACTGGGCCAGTGGATTGTAAAGACATCTGTCTATCTCCTCATTATTTCCAATGAACTGTCAGAATGGTAAAACACTATCCTATTTTGTACCAAGCATGACCATTGGTTGTGGTGCTAGAGAAATTGGAATGTCATAACATAATCACAATTTTTCTGTTTGTAATTCAGATCTCCAAAGAGCTTGTAGGAAGGATGGGACATTGGCCAAGAAAGAACTCATTTCATTTTGGGATAGATAAAGATGTTTTGTTTTTTTTCTTTCTTTTGCACTGCAAACATCTTTTTTTTTTACATTTTCTGCCAATTTCCCAGGAAATTATGCATGGATACTGATAGAGAAATTTAGGAGACTGATATCTAAGACAAGAGGAAGATACATTAATTTTTCATTACTTTCTTTAACATTGTAAGGGTGGTTACTTGTTAGTAATGAAACTTTGAAATCTGTCACTCATTTCTGGGAATATTTGTTTCAGGTATCAACTGTGTGGAAAGGCTAGATTTCAGCAGCTATCCAAAGTGGTTGCTGCCAACTTGCTTTGAATACGGATCACATTTCCAACCCCATACCCTGAGCTAACAGTCTCAAAATCCCAGTTCAAATAAATCTTAAAGCCCTTTCGTGAGTTAACAACGTAAATGCAATCTTAATATTATAATAGGCCTTAGAAATAGAAATAGTCAGAGTTGTAAAAGAGAGAGGAAACAGGAAGTTGACTCTACTTACAGTGCTTAGTTTGCTACAGCAGATGAGGATTCGACGTTCATAAAGCATACTAGCGTACAGATGAAGCATGTTATTGACATCTACTGCTACAAAGTACTCAGTTAGGTTTCTCTGCAAGGAAAGAAAAACAAACATATTGATAAGTTAGTTATGAAGGTAAAGAACTACAAATTGTGGTTCAGTATGTACACTATGAACTGTGGTTCAAGTCATAAAACTCAACATTGCACAAAAAGTATCCAGTAACTATTTTAATTTTAATTGATTTTAAAAGTTTTACGCAGTGATGACTCATTTTCATAACTAATGATGGCTTAAAGTTAAGAAAAGTGAAATTATAGTTATTTTCCAAATAATTATAGCATCAGGCGTTAAATGTAATAAGTCTTGTCATCTCATTAATAACATTCAAAAGTTCAATAATGAAAATTTTATGGATCAGATGTAACATTTTAAAAAGTCACCATTGTTTCAATTCATTTGAAGGGATGGTTTATCCAAAAATATATTTTTTGAGTTTTTAGAGTTTCAGGGGTAAACAGTGTTCTAGCCAAATCCAATACAATTGAAGTAAATGTGGCATTCAAATTCGACTCAAAATGGTGTCATTTAGACCTTGTTTTTAGCCTAAATGTCTGCTGTGATCCAAGTGTGAACACAGCTCCAATGATATCAGAAGACATTTAGACTTTTAGAAAACTTCATTATTGGATCTCGCCAGAGCTTTCACTTTGACGACTCCAAACCAATGCAATCCATCTGGTCTTTAACTTGCCAGCCTTGCTAGGTCGGCTAACATCTACGTCAAACACAACCACACTAATGTCAACTTCAGATTATTAAACATCCCTTCACATACGAGCAAGGGTCATATCCTCCTGGATCTTCTGAACAATTGTAATTTTGACTTCCTTTGTTTGACTGAGACGTGGCAACAACCTAATTACTTTTCACAAGTGAATTAATCTACTCCTCTTGGCTTTGTTTACATCTATCAACCCAGTGCCTCTGGCACAGAGGGAGGTCTCACAATTATCTACCGTGAGAGGTGGAAAGTCTCGCCTGTGTCTGTACCTGCTTTCTCATTTGAATCTATTGCATTACAACTGAATGTGCCTACCCCTACTATAGTCGACACTGTTTATCGTCTTTCCCATTTATGCTCACTCTCCCCTAACATAATATTGCTGGGAGATTTTAATATACATATAGACAATATCAAGAGAGCTCTCACTACGGACTTTACATTTGTCTTTTTTTAATGTTGCTTTTCAGCAACATATGTTTCTTAAAGAATAACTTAGTTATTTTTCAACCTGGTCCTTATTTCCAGCATATGGTATGTAGAGCTACTCACCCATAAAGGTTTGGAGTAACATGGAGTCCTTCGGAAGCTTTTAGATCCACACGCGATCGGCGTTTATCCATACAACACACGTGATTGGGGCACCCACTATACAGCCTCTAAATAACGCATTATCTGCCGTGAAACTCTTTATGTACTATGAATTGCCAGCACTAGTCCCCTGTCAGTCCAAGTTGCTTTGTTTACATCCCGGGCTTTCACTGGGCTGACGTCACCGAGGCGCGCAGCCGCAGATCAGCTGACAATCAGTTGTGTTTGTTTTGGAGTTTGCTGCTGCTAATTTTGCGTAACATGGCAGAATACTTATCATTGATTTACAGTACAGTATTTTTTTAAAGCAGCTGTGTCCTGGTGCTCGGGCATATTCACCCGGTTAAAGGCTAGCTAACTTCAGTGGGCTTATGAGCAGCCTCGGAGCTAGTGTTAGCTTAGCGAACCGAGAGCGAGTTGTCTTCCTGTTTAATCAACAAACTGGGTGAATGCGTCCGAGCACCAGGACACAGCTGCTTTAAAAAAATACTGTACTGTAAAGCACCTGATAAGTATTCTGCCATGTTGCACAAAACTAGCAGCAGCAAACTCTGTGTTAACAAACACAGCTGATCATCAGCTGATCTGCGCGCCTCAGTGACGTCACCCCAGTGAAAGCCCGGGATGTAAACAAGGCAACTTGGACTCAGAGGGGACTAGTGCTGGCGATTCATAGTAAATAAAGAGTTTCGCGGCAGATAATGCGTTATTTAGAGGCTGTTTTGGATGCCCCAGTCACTTGCGTTGTATGGATATATGCCGATCGCGTGTGGATCTAAAGGCATCCGAAGGACTGCAAGTTACTCCAAACCTTTATGGGTGAGTAGATCTACATACCATATGCTGGAAATAAGGACCAGGTTGAAAAAAAACGAACTTCTCCTTTAATTTCCTGGTCGGGTGTTACTCCTCTTGATTGTACAGCAGCCGATCTCTGATCATATCTCTATCACATGTTGACATCTTTTAATGTCAACCAATTACTATCCAAAACAAATCTCTCGTGTTATTTCTTTTCACAATTATTAAGGACATTAATTTAAATGCTCTTTCCAGTGGTATTGATAGTCTCCCCAGCATAAACTGTTGATCCACCACTGATGAATTAGTATCTCACTACAATGGTCTTCATAGTCTTTTAAGTACCCTGGCTCCTTTAAAACCCAATCTATCTCCTAGTCCCATTCTGCCCCATGGTTTACACCTGCACTTACTAACTCAATGTGAAAGGCTGTCGCTTGGAACGCCTCTGCAAGAAAACTGGAGTTATTGTGCACGAAGAAATGTACAATGATCACATTCTTTACCATAATGACTCTCTATCTACAGCAAAATCCACTTATTACTCAGGTTTAATCAGCTCAAGTGGAGGGAACACAATCCTTGGTTATATACTTCGACCACCAGACTCTCTTGCTCCTCAAATGCACTGGGTTCTTTTGCAACTTCTACAACAGTGATAAAATCGAGGTTCTCCTTATTGGCACCAAATCCACCTTATCAAAATCAGACAATCTATCCTTCAATATTGACAATGCTTAATTTTCTACCATATTTATTAGTGACCTGAAATTAGTCAGGTTTAATCCATACTACGTTTTATTTAGAAATCTGTTCACCAAAGCGTTTTGGCTCCATAACAGTTTTAATGCCCATCCATCCCCACCTGAAAATACCTATGACGTGACCATTCACGTAAACTGGGCATGCACATGCCAGTGTAAAAAGGGAAGCATTTACTTGTTAGTTTTAGATTACTCAATTTAGATTGCTAGATATGCAGTAACCGAAAAGACCCAATCAGTAGGAAGTTGTAAGTGTCTACGTTATCGTCTCCGGAAAAACACCTGTTTCTGTCAGTCCAGACAAAGACGCAGCCCAGGGGTTTTCAAACTAAAATGGGGCCAGCAGCATTTCCAAACTATTGAAAATGTACAAGTATGGATTTAGCGTCACAAAGAGATAAAAAACAACACTTACATTCTCAGGTATGCTGGGGAGTTCCCTCGTGTCAGGGACAGTAAAGAAGGAATGCTGGAGAAAAATTAATACAAATGTAAACAGTATTAATACCTACCAGTAGAGACCGTCTGGAAATATGCAGCTATACACTCCACCTGAAAATGTGGCCATCTATCTACAAATTCAGAAAACTGTCTATCTTTTTTTCATAGGGTTTGCCATTAAATTGCCCAGGACTACCTTAAAGGTCCAGTGTGTAAGATTTAGGTGAAAGGGATCTATTGGCAGAAATTTAATGTAGAATAATCCTCATTATGTTTTCTTTAGTTCGTTTCATCTAAATTGTATGAATTATAGTTTTCTTTACCCCAGAAAAGGCCCTTTATATTTAAATACTTTATGGTTACATCAAGGGGACCCTCTCTACGGAGGCCGCCATGTTTTTTACATTAGTCCAGACTGGATAAACCTTTTCAGTTTTTATGACAACTGAAGCTACCACAGGTTCTTTTTCATGTTTGGAAGGAGAGGGTGAGGTGAGGGGTGTTCAGCTGCAACATACAACAATTTCAACACTAGATATCACACAATTCTACACACTTTACCTTTGAACAACAAAATGTAGTAGTCAAACCAAAAATCTCACAAATGGCTTTAGCGTTGTTCTCTTTACTGCTCCAAATGTTGGTGATTTAATAAAACCCAGAAATTTGATGTTTCACACAGCTGGTGAGGAGTAAATGGTCTGTATTTATATGGAATTTTTGTTTTCTCAAAGCGCTCTGTAGTACAGTTTTTATAGCGCTTTCTCTATCATACATCACTCACACGCTACTAGCTTAGTTGGAGAGACTGGGATCGAACGGCCTACCTTCAGGTTACCACTGAGGTTTACCTCAGAGCTAAAAAAAAACCTCTTCTATCTCATTTGTCAACATTCCTGAAGGTTATAAAGCCAAACTATTTGTAGAATTGTTTTTCTTTGGGAAAAATTAAGAGAAATACCTGCAGTGTTTGTAGTTTAAAATGAGCCAGACTCACCACACCGAGATGAACAGGGACCCCTGGCTCAGGGATGGGGAGCAAATGAAGTGATACAAGGAGCTCTTGCCATTGGCTTTCCTGAAACATATTGTAGATCCACAATCCATGCATGGTCACATTCTCATGCAACACACAAAAACCCAAGTTCAACATTAAGAAAATCAGTGCAAATAATTTTTTAGGAATCCACACTTTATATTTCCTACCAAATCTCTTGGTCAAGCTATCATCAGACATAAGTGTGGCTGATTATAATGCTGGGTCATGTTATTATCGTAACTTCCATAGATATGTCCAAAGAGTGACGTATCTATGGAGGGACACACCGGAGGCGCTCAAATATGCATACTTATGATTTTCCTGCTATTCTCTGGAGAACTGGAATTTCAATTTCCCAGATTTTTCCCACACACAATGATATTTCCTCATCTGCCCCTCCACTATAATTGTTTTTTTCAATGATGTACTTATTCTATACATTTGTCAGTTGTGTCTAAACAGACAGACACACAGAAGCGCACAAGCAGACAAGCAGACAGACAGACAGACAGAGAGGGGTTGGTTGCTGTAGGCTTGCGTAGGTCCGTCACTTGTGTAGACCATCATCATTTACCCACAAACCCCTACACACGTCTACTATATGTGAGACTACCAAGGAGCAAAAGAAGCAGAATCACAGGCTGACATGTGTGGAGAAATGCGCTTCTGGTGTCAGCGCTTCGCAGCGTGTTGTTGTGCTAGTATTGTTTGTTCAGTGTTATACAAAATTTGAAAATCTATTATCAAGCTTTCCATATCTTAAGCCAACATGACAAATCAGGGCAAATACTGGAGCTAATACTGGAGCTTTCGAATAACGAAAAACTGTTCAGAACTGACCTGTTCACAATTACATGTTCATGCATTGAGTCACCTGTCACAACTTACCTGGCCTTTGATTGTGTAATCTGCAAGGATATTAAGTAGCTTGTAGAAAACTTCAAACCAGGGCAGGTAGCTGAGAGAACAAAAAGGTGGTTTGTACATGTTACAAAGCTGAGCATCCCACTTCTTCACTTGACTAATCAAAAATCTTACAGTTGTTTTAATTAGTCAATCCTAAAACTTGAAGACTCAGAATCTATTTTCCCGATTAACTCAGTGAGGCAACTTCAGAATTTACCTGGTTAATCTGGTTGTAAGAGAGAAGGGTTTCACTGGGTTATATCTAACAAGCTAAATGTAGTTACTATTTTACTGTTTAAGATCCCTGTGCTGTAATGGCTACATTTGGTAAATATAATCTACAGTATGCCACAACACAAATTCAAAAGCATTGCAGTGACACATATACTAACATGCCAATTTCTTAGGCACACCTACTGTACATAAAATGAATGCAGTCTTGCAATAAATACTCCTTCATTTGGATTAAAATGTTTAGTTTTTATTGTGACTGTTTGAAAGAGGAGTCAATTCATTTTTAATTTGTTGAACTGTTTAACTTCACTGGGTCATACTGAGTGATCTTCCAAATATTTTGTCAACCAAATCCAGCTCAGTTCTTCAGCTCCATAATATATATCCTCCAGAATAGCCAGTAAAATGAACATGCTCTTAAAGAGTTTTATTGCATGTCTTTTGTATTACACTGCATTTGTTGTATCTCCTAATAAGAGAGTAAGAGAGTAGATCAATTTGATCACTGTCTGACAAAGTAACCCTTTCCCTGAACTGAGGAACTTAAAATGGGTGTGACAAATTTACACAAACGCTTTTAGCCATTTTGTTCGTGATATACGGCTGTTAAAGGAAACAGAAATATACAATGGTGGAACAACCCTTGTTGACCCATAGTGTTGATAAGAGCAGCCAATCCTGACATATCAGTCTGGAGACAAAAAGTCAACATAATTGTTGTGCTTTGGTGTTGCTGTTTTTTTCAAATGGGAATGGGATGTTTTACCTGCAAATGACTAGATAGATGTTATTCTGCTCTATTGAGGTTTCATTAAAAATTCTTCAGATACCAGAGCTAAACTTCTACTTTTCAATCAATTAAGAGTTCATGTGCCTAAAGTGTGACAGAAACTATACTTTTTTTTTTTTAAAAACACAAAAACCCTAAGAGTGTAATTTTTTATTGCTTAGGAAGATTAGAGGTTGAAATTTAACATGAACTCAACTACAATAATTTAATACTTAATAACAGTTTCAGTGCTGAATACAGAAAAAAAAATCCAGCTCCAAACTCGTCATCCATTGTCTCCTGACTACTGGGGCCAGGGACACCCACGCTGTTGGCTGATGTGCTTGGCATGGGGTCACACAAGGAAACACAGATCATCCTTCTGCTTTCAAATGTATCCTGTGCATCAACAGGTGCTTCATTAAGTTTGTCATGTTCTTCACTTCTTTCTTCTTCTTCTCTTGGTCTTTGCAGATTGCAAACAAGGTGCATACCACCAACTCTACAAGGCATGGTTCCCGGGACCAGGTAGCAACAGCAGGTGCCAGGTCCCCCACTCTCCCCTCGGTAAACTTTTGCATAAATTATAACCATACTTTCGACCATTTAGCTTTAAGCAGTTTGAGGTAACTACTAGTTAAAGCGGTTTTCATGAGCTCCGCAGAGGATTTAATGTATAAATTCTGCTGCAGAGATCATATGTTTTTGTTCATAGCACATCAACAGCCGCATTTGCACTTATCTTCATCTGTTTTTTGCTTTAAGTATACCACCACTGTTTCATCATGCGATATAATTTTTGCTTGTTTTTTTCATTTTTGCATATTACAGACGTCATCAATATGTCCACTCACTCACTTGAGGATACCCTGCTGTTTTCTCCTGAGGAAGCAATGCCTGATAAGTACCAGATTTCAGTATCCAGCTCTAGCTGTAATAAATTGTTTACACTCTGTAAAGATGACACAACAGATGATCCTCTGGGAGCCCTAACCAACTGTCCCTCAGTATTTGTCTTTCTGAGTCTCAAGATCAACATATCCCAAAAAGAAATTAAGTGATATCATCAGTGACATAATAAAGCATTGTGTCTCAATTCAAAAGAACTGTAACCACAATTGCAGTTTATTGTTTAAAATAAATGGACGAATATGTTTGACTTTCTCTAAAACAAAGATCTTTTGTAGCTTTTTAATCCCCATTTACATTTTTTCCTAGAAACAGATCATTACTTCTGGATACCACACATGTACACACAGACACAATGACAAATGGACACACACTCACCTCAGAATGCAGTAGCAGGTGTGTGCACCTGAAGACAGTCGACAAAAGCCAAATCTCTGTTTGCTCTCAATGTCAGTCAACACAAACGTGAAGTTCTGGCCAACCTGGTTGACAGTTGGGCTGCAGAGTGAGAGAGGTTCAGTCGGCAGACAGAGATAGAAAGAAGAATTTTTTTTTTTTATCAAATCAAAGTATTTGGGAGATAGTTGTTCTGTCAAACTGAATTCTTCACTCAGAGAGGTGTTTATCAATGTCCAACATAAGTTTATGTTTTTATAAATGAGAACTGGCTATTCGGTTGGATCATTGTGGTGGTCCTGACCTCTCCCACCAAGATACAGAGGTGAAATGCTCATGATCTTGTACTATTTTTTCCTGCTGAACTAGGATGAAAGTGACAGCTGAACGTAGAAACATGACTGGCGCCTAATTTGTAAAACAGTACTTAGGATTAATAAAAAAGTGTAATTGCACAAAAAAGCCAAACTAGGGCCTGATACCAAGGTCCCAAAAAAAATGTGTTAAAAATTGCTGAGACGGTAGTGCCGGAAAATGCTTCCTTGGTAAATCACTTAGTTTGAGTTCCATCTCAATGGGGAGGTTCCAATTTTGACACAGTAGCATGGGTTTTTAACTGTTCAACTTTGAGTTCATTCCTTTCCTTTGGTGACCCTTCAGTTACTCAGTGTTTTAGTCTGCTGATTATATGGCAGGTTAACTTCAAGATAAGCTCCCTATGTTGGCTTTAACAATCTGCATGTTAAAGAAGAACAAAATCAATTCAGCTCACTCATAACCTTGCTAAATAAGTAAAGAAAAACATAGTTAGCCACACAGGTCTCATACAGTTGTCCACAGGACTACTTAAGAGTCAGACAGAAATAATAAATGCTTTCACATTAAAATTCTCATTTGCTATTTATCTTTTATACACATACTTACAAATTCTTAAATGAAACCACACACATGGCTGATCCCAATCTATCAATCATGGCAGATTCAGCCGATTTGAAACCTTTTTTGACTTGGTTTATTTGGTTTTTGATAAAGCAACATTTACAGAATAAATGCACCTGTAAATTATCCAGTAGAGTTACAAGTCAATAGATCTTGTGTATTCACACACCATGCTTATCCCCACCTCTATCCAAGAAGGATAAAGCAAGATAAAGTAAGAAAATAAAAATGCAATACATATACAAACATATATATATAGACATACATCATTCTGAGATCGCAGGGAAATTTAATCTCTTAACATAAGAAAAGAAGGGGGCCCACATTGTATTGAAATTATTTATAGAGCCATTGAGTGTGTGGCTGATTTTTTCCAATTTTATGCAATTCAAAACATCTGTAATCCAAATAGCATGAGAAGGGGGTACAGAAGATTTCCATAAAATTGACCGTCTTGCCAACAAAGTTACAAAGGAAATTACATCCTTATTAATTTTGGTCAATGGTAACGTGAGTGAGGGAACTGCAAATAGCGCAATAAGAGGGTCTAATTCGATTTTTATACCACTTATTTATGAGATTGTGTTAAATATGTCTTTCCAGAAACTGACAAGAGATGGTCGACTCCAAAACAAGTCTACATGATTAGCAGGAGACTGGTTGCATCTCACACAGTTTGTGTTCACATCTTTATAGATTCTGGATAACCTTGCTTTGATCCAGTGGGCCCTATGAACAAGTTTACACTGCATGATACCATGATGAGCACATATGGAAGATGTGTGTACCCTTTTAAGTGCCCCTTCCCACTATTCATCAGGGATTGCCTCACCTAGTTTGACCTCCCATGAGGATTTAATAATGCTTAATGATGCAGTTTGTAAGAGAAAAGTTGACCATAAATTATTTATAAGGTACCTTTCAGAGTAGGAAGTGGGGTAAGAAATATATCGAACTGCATTTCAACCGGGAGGATGGGGAATTGGGGGTCTATGCTGCAAACGTAACTCCGGATCTGTAAAAACCTAAAAAAGTGATGTCTGGGAAGACCATATTTATTGGTCAAATGTACAAAATTTATTGTTAATATAGAGATCTTTGAATGTTTTAATACCAACATTAGACCATGTTGAGAAAGCACTGTCAAACATAGATGGTGTTTTTTTCCCACAGTCGAATATTAATTTTCACAATCGAATCTCTGTTTTTTTTAAATATTTGAATATATATTTGAATTTAAAATATTTGTTGAAGCCCTAGTGTGAGTGAGTGAGTGAATAAGTGAGAGAGAGAGAGTAAAAAAAAACCTAATGAACTAAATTCAGTCCAGTTTTATTGCAGGGAAGCACATTGAGGGGATGGCTAGAGAAAAGTGTGAGTCTCTCCTATTGCTATTGTACTATTTTTTCAGCTATAGTAACATTAATTGTTGGTAATGTAGCAGCCTAGTTTTTAATGACAAGGTCCCTGCTATCACATGTTAAAATATAACATTTACATAATAAAATCAACTACAGGCTTCCCAAATGCTGTAATAAATTAAGCATGATGATTTGAGCATATGTCAGCATGTGGCCGCACTTTTAACTCTCTCTCTTTTTTTTAAACCCGTATTGCAGATGGATAGAGTTAAGTTTAAAAGTGCAGTATGGAAGTATTACACTCAACCAACACCAGAGAAGGCAGTTTGTAATACATGCAATGAAGGTGTCAGCATGGGAGCAACAACAGGAAAAAACTAAAATACTTCAAACCTGTGGTCCCATCTTAGGATTCATCACCCTGAGTTGTATGAAACAGCACAGAAGAAACAGGAATCTGACTCTCATGAGGATGAGGCAACTTCATTTCAGCCAACAATAGAGGACATGTTTCAAAAACAAAGAAAGTGGACAAACTCAGATGACAGGTCGAAACTAATGGACAAACTAGTCATGGAAATGATAGTCATTGACAACCAACCGTTCACGGTGGTGTCTGATGTTGGCTTTAAGCGCCTCATGGCTGCAGCAGAGCCACGATATGCACTGAAAAGTGAAAAGTATTACCGAACAACCACAAGGTTGTGGACAAGATCAAAGCCCTAATTCAACCAGAGAATGCTGGCTACTATCTCTCCTTCACCACAGACTGCTGATCTGGTGTGACAGAGTCTCTCATGAGCCTGACATGCCATTTCATTGACACTGAATGGACAAGAAAGCAGGTTGTCTTAAACACAAGAGCGATGCATGGGTCCCACACTGGGGAATACCTGAAGGAGACATTCTTCAGTATGCTTGAGGACTGGAAGATAAGCAAAGACCGTGTAGCACTAGTGCTTCGAGACAGCGGAGCAAACATCGTGCAGGAAATGAGGCTTGCTGAACTCCCAGACCTCAGCTGCACAGCGCACACCTTGCAACTTGTGGTGAAGGACGGTCTGTCAAGTCAAAGAGCCGTCACAGATGTCATTGCAATTCTTAAGAAGTGTGCCACACATTTCCACCACTCCATTCTGGCCAAACAGCGTTTACGAAACATTCAGAGGGAACTAGGCCTGCCAGAGCATAACATAATCCAGGCTGTTCCAACGGGTGGAACTCAACGCTCCACATGCTGCAAAAAATGCTGGAGCAAAAGCGTGCACTCTACTGTGGTGAACATGGAGGATTTGCAGGTCTCACTGCTCACCAGTGGGACCGTGTGTCCAATTTAATTGAAACTCTTCTCCCAATAGAGGAAGTGACACATCAGGTGAGCCACAGCAACTCATCAGCATCCTGCATCAGTCCATGCCTGACTGTGCTGAAGATGCTACTTCAAGATGATGAGGGGCCCTCCACAAAAAGGCATCAGAATGCTCAGGCAAGCCATGAGGGAGTGCCTGGACAAGCATTTCTCAAAAGTAGAAGACACAAAAGCTGTGGTGCTGGCCTGTCTCTTAGATCCTCGTTATATGAGTCACACATTCTCCTCTGTCACAACATTGAGCAAGGCCAAAGGATGGTTGAAAGAGGAAGAGGAGGCTGCCACACAGCAGACCACTGGAGAGGAGCATGCTACCACAGAAGGAGCCAGTACGGAGGAGCAGGCTGCTGCAGAGGAGGCCAGTGTGGGGGATGACGGAAACATCCACAAAAGGCAACGGAGAGAAGACACATCCTTCCACAGCCGTGTTGATGAGATGTTCAGTTCTCTGCTGGCACCCCACACTGATGACCGACCGGACAGTCGCTGCGTTGAGGATGAGCTACATCTGTACCTGAAGGAGCCACTTATCGACAGGCGGAAAGGAGACATAATGAAGGGCGCTTCAAGTTACTTGCAAAACTAGCAAGAAAGTTTCTTTGTGCACCACCCTCATCAGTCCCAAGTGATAGAGTGGCGGTGCGCAATGCCCAGCTAGATGCACATGAGTGAGCGAGCCCTACTCTCAATTCGCCGAGTGGGAGCCATGCGGCGTCCAAGGGCGCCACAGGCCGAGCCATTGTGTGCAATGCCCAGCAAGACGCAAATGGAGCGAGTGAGCCCTTCTCTACACTCGCCGAGTGGGAGCCGGGCGGTGTCCACGGGCTCCACAGGTATATCGTATATACCTGTGGATATGGCCAAGTGTATGGTGTCAGTTAATTTTATTTCCAGTGTTCCAGAGATCCCAGTGCCTTATAGAATTTTTGTCACGCAACCTTTTCCTTAAGGTGACATGGAAATTGTTGGTTGGGTGGTGTAAACTGAATGATGGTAGCTTCCTTGCTGGGAGACCTGTCATTTTAGTTTAGTTGCACCATTAAGACGTAAACTGATTTCTGAACCCCTTATTGTGATTCCTTTCACATGTCACTGGGGACAGCTGAAGTCAGGCTCTTATATTCCCCTTACATATGATGCACTTCTTGACACGGCCTCTGACATCACCTTGATGTAGCCGGCACTTTTCAATAAGTCGCAAAGCGACATTAGATCAGAAAAACAAAAACTTGAATCTCCAATCCTTTTCTCCTTAGATCCAAACTTATGTTCCTTCAGGTCACACTTTGAGTACAATGTTGCTGCAGTTGATGATTAGACCCATGACTAGTGAATGTGTCCTTTTGTTGTTATCCCTCTTCTCATTGGCAAAGACTTCCTATATTGAACTGAACCCCAAAATAAAAATCCACTAACCTCTGCAATTTTCTTTCCCATTGAACATGGATGCAGAGTGCTATTTTATCAACAGTAGCAAGCCTGCCACCCTTATTCCCAGTTCCCCAACCATACATGACAGAGGTCGGCCAAAAAAGTCCAGCGTCTTTTCCCACCAAGCTCACCCACCCTCTCAATGCTATTGCTCCATGTCAAGCTGCGACTATGAACCCAGAGTAACTGGCAGAATCGCTTGGCCCATCAGTCATGCTTGCTTTCTCAGATTTTTAACCTTTGTCCCTTCAACCACCTGATCCAGCCAGTGAGAATATGATAATTTCTCTTCACATCTCCGAAGCCGGCCCGCTTCTTAGCCACAGCCATGGTGTAGTCCAGGAATATTGAGACTCTTCTACCCTTGTAGAGGAGAGGAGATGCTTCTCCAGATCTCCTGAGAATATCATTGTGGACATGGAAGATACAGTTTGTACCCTGATGACAAATGGTCGCGAATGTTCACCATCATAGAGTCGGTTATGCAGGATGCGGTGAGCCCGATCTAGCAGTGGCTTCTCTTTGCTGTATGGGTTATGTATGGTGATGTGTGTGTGTGTGTGTGTGTGTGTGTGTGTGTGTGTGTGCATACCTGTCCATGCTGAAGGGGAAGCAGAACTTGGGCAAGGTCTGAAGAGTTTCCTGTGAAATACAGATGAAATAGGTAAAATGTAAAACGTTTCACCATTAAAATGTAATCATTTCCTCTTTGAGTCCAAGTGACAACTGATGTTAAGTTGAAGAAATTCCAACAACTCCGTGTTGAGATAACATTCAAGAGGCTAAAAACATGATTTTGAGGCCACCTTGACCTTTGACCTACGAAATCCATCATCCATGAGTCCAAGTGAATTGTGCCAGATGTACTGAAATTCCCTACGACAGTCTTGATATATCAATTTCACTGTGAGCTTGATCTTTGACCGCCAGGGACCAAAATCTAATCAGTTCATCTTTAAATCGAAGTGAACGTTTCTACCAAATTTTAAGACATTCATGTTCAAGAAAAACATAACCATACTTTGTGATGCAGCCCTGACCTTGACCTTTGACTACCAAAATCCAATCCAAGTTCAATTGAATGTTTATGCCAAATGTGTAAGGATTCCCTCAAGGTGTTTATATCAGGTGAGATATCAGCTTCACAAGGCAAATTTGTGAGGCTATCATAACCTTGACCTTTTACCAGCACAATCTTATCAGTTCATCCTTGAGTCCAAGTGAATATTAGTACAAAATTTGAAGAAATTCAATCTTGGCATTCTTGCAATATCGCATTCACGACAATGGGACAGACGAACAACCCAAAAACATAATGGCTCCGGCAACTGGCTGTCACCGGTGTGGAGGCATAAAAACTCACAGGGTGAATGGAGTGTGTGAGGCTTTACAGAAAAGCTTTTGCCATTCACCCATTCACACACACATTCATACTTCCTGCAGCTGTGGCTGAGGGGTAGCGGTCGTCCACCAACCAGACAGCCACCGGTTCGATCCCAGTCTTTCCCACCTGTACGCTGAACTCTCCTTTGGCAAGTTGCTGAATGCCTCATAAAAATAAAAAGTGCTGCCAATAGATGCACTGTATGAGTGTGTGAATGAGCTAATGGCAAACTGTAAAGTGCTTAGAGTGGTCATCAAGACTAAAAGAGCGCAGACCATTTACTTATGAAGGGGCAATTTTGGAGTTCACTATCTTGCCAAAGGACACTTTGGCATACGGAATGGGGTAGACTGTGTAAATCAAACACTGCACACAACAGTGCTTCTGTGTACATTTGGGAAAGATAGTTGTGAAGAGGGCAAGAAAAATAACTTCTTTCAAACCTGGTCTGTGTAGACCTCAGGGAACTGCCTTCGCACTTCTGGCCCTGTTGTAAAAGACATGAAAAGGTTATGTAGCAGTGGTCAGGACAGAATGCAGCACATTTATTTAAACTTTGACAAATAGACAAAAGTATTCAATTCTGTTTCACAAGGTTTTGATTCGATTGCAGATTCTAAAGCATATTTTCCAAAATGAAAGTTGAAGTCTGACCAGAAGGACACTGTTTATGTGTGTTTTGATTTTGGTGACCCTACATGGGTGGAGTT